TCGATAATAAATGGTTTGCGCTATTATTCTACCATTGACACCGTTTTACAAAAGTTGCAATATACATTGTTTTTTATATATATTAATGAATTTATAATATATTTATGTCAGTTAAAAACAATTTAGTTATTTTTATTATTATTAATTTCAGCGATGATTGGAATCAATAATAACTAGATTTCTTTTAATCAAATAAATTTGATATTATTGAAAGTGAAATTTTACGGAGTTAGAGAAATTCATAGATAGAATATATATTTCAAGGTGATTAAATCTTATGCATAATTATATTAAATCGACAGTTTTGTGACTCGTATTAATATGAATAATCAATAAGTTTAAAAATGAATAATTAATAATTAATAATACCGTACTCTATTGCATACTTTCTTAAGTAATAAGCGTGACCGTCTAAAGATATAGATACCATTCCGTAAGATCGTAATTACAGAGTAGATCTTATAATACCGCGGTACAATTAACCGTAAAGAAAAATTCCAAGAGCAAAAAACAATATTCGCCGCGTCGAGTGTCTCCGCCGTAATGAGACACGCGATTATGCGCAATGCAATTATTCAGCGTAATTAACAATTAACGGCAAGTCCGTCGATCGCGTGATTACTTTCGGTAATTAACAAAAGAGAGCATCCCGGTAGTTGACATAATTATAGGACACGTCATACCGTCGTAACGCGAACGGCCGGGCCGCGTCTGGCACAAAAATAATCATCGCTCTCACAAGAGATGATGTAAATGCTCGATTTGTTCCGGCAGCTGCCCCGCTTTATGTCTCGAATCGGCATACGCAACGTGGTTAGTCACCACTTAAGAATACGTTTTAATTTCTCGATTTATCGCACGCTTTCGCGATAATCGCTGATTAGTGTGAGAATCGCAATAAACTTACTTCTTCCCGACAATTCTGTTTAAACGGCAGTTTTAAGACGATCCGTCGCCTTCTGTTGCTACGGCGTCTAAGTGACTGTGCTAAATTTAATCACGTTCGCGCTTGCTATATTACCGTACAGTTCTGTCAATTTAGCTTTGTGATATGTTTGAGATATAATGCGAATATTAATATAAAAATACTTTCGACGATATCGTACATTTCTTCCGGAAATACTTTTATAATATAATTATGATAGCAATATTCAAAAAAATTGATAAGAATGGAATAAATAAATTTTAGATTGAACTATATGCAATATTATGTAAACATCTAGTCGTAATTTCTACGAGTAAGATTAAGAAAGATAAATAGAAACTTTGATATTTCAATGCTTGATTACTCCTCGTGTACCGCATGATATATATCGCGGATTTAAATTTGATTTATGCGAGTACTTGAATTTCCCCTGACGCACACGCTTTTTACAAACTCATCTTGCAGTGTCGTGCATCCGATGGTTTTATAGTCAAACACATACCGCTAACATGTCATTATTATCGTTATATATTCCCACGTTGCGGTACATACAGCTTGGTGGTCTGACGAGCCAAGCTACAGATGTTCGGTGCAATACAGGAAGAGAATGATCTTATATAGCGGTACATATTTTTTAAATATCACAAAAGGTGTAGCGTAAAAATTTCAAAACAAGATTTTAGAATTCTAGATTTACGCTCATAATATTATCGACGTTAAATTAAACGTTAAATTCTTATTTTATAACATTAAATTATAATGGTATATTTACGTTGCGATATAATTCAGCGATCTCAGGAGTTGTATCTCCTACTTATCTGATTCTTCGTTAAAAATTATCAGACGACGCGATGACTATAATCGAATGGATCTGCGCCAACTTGTGCGTTTTCTTGAGCTTATATATTCCCGCATTATCTCGTACGTGCAAACTCGACAATACCACGGCCACGATAAGTTGCAGATGCTCGTGGAGAAACCGCAAAGAAGAAAGTCTCCTCCCTGAGCGCTCGAACGTACTTTTACTACGCGGAAATGACGCGCGCGCTGCGCCCATCTGTGCGCGACCATCTCCCACGCTTAGTAAAAATCTCCACTGCAGCTGTCATAACCGGGACTGTAAATGACTGTATGAACGATGCATCTACATTGCATAACCTTCTATGAGTAGCGAGATGCAAGTGACACAAGTTTCAATAAAATCCTTTGGCATACCAATGAGATATCCTTTCTCTCTAGAATAAAGATTATTTGAGAGAGAAATTTATACATTATATTGTGCGCATATATTCTTCGACATATGTATATAAATTATAGATCTGATTTTTTTCTTTGTACTATTTGCATAATTGAAACATGATAAGGCTGAAAACAAATTAAATAATAAAGTAAGAAAGTTTTGCAATAGCAAAAATGTGAGGATTGTTGTAATACAAATTTTTAATGCTATATTGTTTCTATGAGGGAAAAAAATGAAATTATATACATAAAAATTGCAATCAATTATTCTTACGTTAATGTGAACCGAAAAGCTAATGAAAATTATTGTAATTATTGTAATTTAAAAGTTAAATAAAAGGAAAAATTGTTTGTGCTGTAAATAATGCTTCTTCTTAGGATATAAACAATATTTTAATCGAGGAAATCAGTGCCTGAGTTGAGAACGAGAACAGATTAAATCCGCGTAACTTTTCTTGAGATCCGATGTTCGAGTGGGAATAAGCTTCTTGAAATACATACAGTTGCTGTTTATGTATATGATTAACGCAAATCCTGCTTTGATATGCAATGACGTTTTGGCTAGCATTATTATAAATCTTTGAAATCTTTTAGTAGTCCTTTAGTAATCTTTTAATAGTACTTTTTTGTTCCAAAATCGAATGTAAAAATGTATGAAAACTGATAAATAATATTTGAAAAAAACGATATTGATGTCAGCTTTATACGAATTTTATTTAATAAAGTTTAGCAATATATATATATAACAGTGTGGATTTTGAGAAATTCAAAATTAAAAAAAATGGCATTAGTGAATTTCTATTGGCATGGCACTGTGAATTGTATGCATAATTTTTTTTGTATGTATTTAAAAAGTAAGATAATTTACTGTAATTGCCATAAATGGTTGCGGTCGCTATGATTCACTGCGTCATGTAACGATCAGTGTAACTATTTAGCCGGATAAATTGTACACGGAGTATAATTGCCAGGAACGCGCAATAAATCTGCCTTTCATTAAATGCCGTGCAATTATATTTTACCCAGCTCTTTGTTTGTTCTTTTGTCGATAATTATTCAAATACAAAGTACTCTTTAACCCGCGGGATGAAGTATAAAACGATTTCAACCCTTTACTGCCGTTATTTCGAATGAAATGATTTTATGGCAAATAATTCATCCAAATAATCACAAACTCCAGCTTTTAAAGGCAGCGTAAATGCTTGTCATATATCAGTTTAAAAACCATTGCTCTCTTTAATTATATTTATAACTGTTATTATCTTACTTTATACAAATATATCGACTTTTCCCCTCTGAATAGAAATTTCTAAATTAATGAATACAGGAGCCACAAATGTTATCATTTTTCTTTACAAATTTATTTAAAAAGAGATGCTGAGCCTTCTTTAATAATTATCGAAATAACTATCGAAATAAAACTATCTTGATTTATGTGACAATCTAAAATTTTAAAATGAAAACAGGATTCTGCATGTATCCATAAATTTTACGAATCGGCCATCAGAGACCAATAACCGAATACAAGCCGTTCAACAAGACACGCTTGCAGCAGCGATTGTATTCGAGAGCGCGTTGGATCGAGAAACGATCATTTAGCGAGAATCGTTAAACGGGGAACCGTAACTCCGGCAAGGAGTGCTTGAATGCATTGTGGGGTAGCTGATAATTTTATTGGAAACCGCGCATGTGCGCTTTACAACCGGCGAATGCAAACTGCTTTGGACACTCGCCAGAAGGATCTGGCCATTGAAATGTTATATGGCCACTTCTTCTGGAGCAAACGCTCGGGCAAAAATCTCTCATACGTTTGTGACTGCAAACTTTGCCCAAAAAATTAATTTAAAACAAGCGACGGTTTATTTTCCGGGCACATCTTTATCTGTGGTGATTTAATCGATATTGATTATAATATTAAAACACGAGTGATATCGCATACGATATACGGCGAATAAAGTTCTTTCTCATCTCGCATATTCCTGGTTGCGCTTATTAGCCGCGGAGAACGCCTGCGGTGAATTTTGCGTGGACTTCCCGTCGAGAGACACAATTTGACGCTAATATACTGTGACAACGATGACATCGTCCGCAACGGTTTCGTCCTCGACTTGTCGCGCGAGAAGACGCGATCTTTAGCAAGGTTAATGGAAAATTCTAATGCAAAAAATATGCGTTAAAAATCATTTGTGACAGGTCCCACACACGCGTAATTGGCAAAATTATTTCTTTCAGAAAATAATTAATATATAATAGATAATAGTAATTTAAGTAATATAAAATAAATAATAGTAATTTAAGGGATAAATTGATGGATAAAATTCTACAAATGTCTGGATGGAATTAATTCTTAAAATTTTGCAATCAGGAACTAAAATATTATAAGAACGATAAAAATTAATTAAAAAAGAAGGATTATTAACAATCATACGAGAGAAAAATGAACTAGGTGTAGGATAAATATTGGATTGAGATGCTTTCCTTAAATATCGTCTTTTTTTGCGCGATACACGTATACGTGAGCCATTTTCTGCTCGAGGGATTAAGGTGCCCCATGCGGAGCGCTATTGTTAACCCACGCTTGAAGCTCACCTGTACGTCGCGCCTCCGGACGGTTCTCCGGAGGCGAAGGGCGCAGGTGAACGAGGGGGCACTTAGCGCGAAATGTTTCCCCTCGCACACCCACGTTCTCACGGTAGACCGGGATCTTTTTCGCGACCCCGGCCGCGACCCCGGGATACCTCCGGACTACCTCGGTCCCGATGCGATCCACGGCGCGACGCGGTGCGATAACGCGCGCTGTAATAAATTTATCTCTCTCTCCTTTGTGTTGCAGCATCATATAAAATTAAGGCACGGGAGGCATCGTCGACAACACGGCGGCAGTTATCTGCCCGGCAACTTCGTGCCGGACACGGACGAGCCCGAGAGGGGTAACTGGGGACCATGGTCGACACCGAGCTCCTGTTCGCGCTCCTGCGGCGGCGGGGTCGCTCATCAGACCAGACAGTGTCTCGACATAGAGTGAGTTACCATATTTTACCAGCTTTCACATTTATCGACTTATCCGAGCTCGGCCCGCGGTGGAACGTCGCTCGTTCGTATCGCGAGATACGATATTGAGAGGAATGTCGAACGAGACGCCGGGATGGGCTTCTTGGCACGTACAAGAGGAACGTCTCAATATCGCTCTCGTGGAATTCACTGTAGAAAATGGAAACGATAGCGTTGGATATCTCGCGGATGTGAGAGATGTTGTTAATTTTTTTAAAGATTCCGTTATATATAATATTTTTCCGACGAGAGGAATCTTTTCAATGCATTATTTTAAAAATTTCGAGAAGATATATATGCTCTTTTATAGTTCTGAGACTATACGTACACTCGGGTAGATACTGAAAGAATCGTTATCAGTACCACTCATATTCGTAAATGATGTACGGAAATGTATCCGCCTCTTTTAAAGTTTCTCTTTCGTTGAATTCGCCTTAGAAAGAAGTCATTCTATCTCGTCGAGTTTCTTGCTATTCTCGGAACTGCTCGCTACAATGGTATGCTCAATTGGATTGAGATTGGATTAAAAGCGGACACAACCTTGCAAAGAATTTAATCAAGTCTCAATCTACACCGGATACCCAGATGTAATAGCATGTTGAGGGAATCACTTATCACAGCAATAATAAATATTGCATGTATATTATTATGTACTTTATTTAACAATAAATATTTTATATCTTTACAAACAAAATTTTAAAAAATATTTTATTTAGGCGGAAAAGATGCAACAGTATTCTTCAATTAACTTGCTAAATTGCTAACATTATAAATAATCCTTCGCAATTCTATTTAGTGTCTCGACATAGAGTGAGTTACCATATTTTACCAGCTTTCACATTTATCGACTTATCCGAGCTCGGCCCGCGGTGGAACGTCGCTCGTTCGTATCGCGAGATACGATATTGAGAGGAATGTCGAACGAGACGCCGGGATGGGCTTCTTGGCACGTACAAGAGGAACGTCTCAATATCGCTCTCGTGGAATTCACTGTAGAAAATGGAAACGATAGCGTTGGATATCTCGCGGATGTGAGAGATGTTGTTAATTTTTTTAAAGATTCCGTTATATATAATATTTTTCCGACGAGAGGAATCTTTTCAATGCATTATTTTAAAAATTTCGAGAAGATATATATGCTCTTTTATAGTTCTGAGACTATACGTACACTCGGGTAGATACTGAAAGAATCGTTATCAGTACCACTCATATTCGTAAATGATGTACGGAAATGTATCCGCCTCTTTTAAAGTTTCTCTTTCGTTGAATTCGCCTTAGAAAGAAGTCATTCTATCTCGTCGAGTTTCTTGCTATTCTCGGAACTGCTCGCTACAATGGTATGCTCAATTGGATTGAGATTGGATTAAAAGCGGACACAACCTTGCAAAGAATTTAATCAAGTCTCAATCTACACCGGATACCCAGATGTAATAGCATGTTGAGGGAATCACTTATCACAGCAATAATAAATATTGCATGTATATTATTATGTACTTTATTTAACAATAAATATTTTATATCTTTACAAACAAAATTTTAAAAAATATTTTATTTAGGCGGAAAAGATGCAACAGTATTCTTCAATTAACTTGCTAAATTGCTAACATTATAAATAATCCTTCGCAATTCTATTTAAAAAAAACTTTGCGTCGGCAAGTTATAATTATAAAGAATGTAATTTTGATAAAACGGCAAATCAACAAGAATCGAACAAAACATACGTACAAAATATACGCAAAAAAAAAATCGGCCACATTTTCTGTTTGCAACGCGACGTACATCGGCCGCGACTAAATTTGGGATAAATCAACGAAACTTTTCTCCCGGCGCGCGCCAACGTAACGGATCCGCCGTAAATCCCTCTTATCTCGAAACTAAGGGAAGATTAATCGTAGGCACTTACACGTCTCCCGGCATCACGCTATCTCCAAGAAATTCTCACGATTTCCCATCGCAAAGACGCAATTAAAGTTGGATTTTAACGCGCGCCGCGGTTACGTAGGGCAAAAAGACCGTAAGAGGAGAATGAGAGTGACCGATCAATGATCGACATTGTGCCAGTACGGTTGGTTTCGTCATTAATGATACGGCGTGGATCTTAGAAAGCGAGATAATCGTAACGTGAAAGCACGTGATGCGCGCATCGTATCGAATGAATTTCGTGTTGGTTAATCACAGATCAACGAAACGTAACACGTATCGATCACTGCCATTTCATCGCGAGAGAAACGCATTATTTTCGCGAGATCGTGGCACACGACATGCTTTCCGTATCTATAGTCGATTAGAAATCGCACTTAATCATGGAGAAATCGATAGAGAAGACGTATAATTTATATATAATTCTCTCCGAATATCTTACTTTACGTTAAAATAAGAAAGACGATTAAATTTGAAGGAAATGCTTACACGTGGATTTGTAATCCTGTATAAAATTCTGAAAATGTAACACATGATATGATCACATAAATCCGTTAATAAAATATTACGTGTAACGCTCTAAGACGTAAGTACGTAAATCTTCGAATCTTTTTCTCCCTCTCTTTCTAAAAATTTTATCAAGCAGGAAAAGGTACTTACCTTAGAAAAATAAATTTTTAAACGTCGGATTTTCGTGTGCAATAAGTAAGCAGCACTTACCAAGATACTGTGGCATAATTTATTGAAGGAGTAAATTTAATCTTGTTTTCACCAAACTCTTCACACTTGCATAGAATGTTATAAGCTATCATTGATCGTTTCGTGTTTTGTTTTTTTTTTTGTAAGTGCAATTTTATAATCCACACATCTTTTAATTAATTAATATTGAAAAGTATCTATTCGCGCGTTTTATCTCTTTTTCATCCTAAAATATCGAAAAAAATTTTTTAAAGCCAGCTTTAAATCCAGTGGATAATTTTTATTAAAGCTCAATTTTAATCGCATGAATTTGAGAAAAACGGAAAGAAATGCGCACTCAAATTTCAAAGCGTAATCAAAATTCAAATTGACGCAGAGCAAATCATGATGAGGAATAGCTATAGAGAACGTTTTACATTATTCAACTATAGCAATCGGTATTGCCCCTTTTGTTAGACATCGCGAGTGTATTTCATTCTCCGCGTGCAGTTACTATAGTTGCATGTCAAATGGACTCGATTGTGTCTATCCTTTATTTTAGTAATGATATCGGTTTCAACAGCGTTATGATAGTTACAAATATAAGCGATTATATTCGAGCGCTATTATATAGAGAAATAAACTTGTGATCAATTATTAAGTAAAAATAAACGCAAAAAATAGATCTTATTTTTATAGCAATATTAACACTTGATAAGTAAAATTATAAATATAAAACAAAATTCATAAATATAACAAGTTTTAGCTTCTGCGATATTTCTTCGTTTATAACATAAGAAAAAATAACATTTCTATTTTATGGTGTTACAGTGACAGCGGTCATGACAGGTGCACCGGTGCCTCCAGAAGATTCTTCTCGTGTAACATTCAAGTAAGTACGAGAAACAGTAGCTCTTAATTCCACTTCTTAAATAACGATCTCAAATCGTATCAATTATTTTCCGCATCCGCATCGCCGGATGCGGGCGATCACGTCGTCTCCCGCGACGTGATAATATCGGTCGGAGATCGCAAAAAGACTCCGTCGTGGGAATGCCGCGGGCTACGTGAGTCGCGTACAATCTGGAACTTGATTAATTGCCGTGTAACAGGGAGTGATTTATGCGATGTGCTTTAATAGATCGAGCGGCTTGACAGTCTATCAAGGGGTCCTCGGGGCACAGACGCGTGACGCGCGGTTCAATTATTCGCGTCTGCGAGCAAACTGAAATCAATGAGAGAGTCGAAGTCTACAGTCTTGTCCCTTCTCTCTTTCTCTCTTTCACACCCGCCCACGATTCTTACGCGCGTCGGTATATCGAAGAAAGTAAGCAGTTAAAGTACGAGACGGGATCCGTCTCGACGCGGAAAATTGCGATTAATTCGCGATTTGCTCATTCGTCGATTCCAGTTGAATGATTGATTCATTCAGTTATATCTCATCTTTTCGTCGAAACGCCTTCCACTAATTTTTGAGATATGCATCAACGAATGATACGTCAATTTTTAATGATATGATTTATGTTGTTATTCAATCCTAGTCAATTGCAATGAATCTCTAGACTCAGAAGTGTAAATGTATACTTATTTAAATTGTAGAGTCAATTATGAAAAATTGAAAAAAGATGTAACTGTAATATAATAACGAAACGATTAATAATAATTTTTTGTTTGTTACAATTTAAAATGAGTGGTTTGTTGTCGAGATAGATGAATATTAATAATTGTCGATGAATTAAAAAAAGAAGAATATTTATTTATTCTGTATATTTATGACGGCGACGGGAATAAAAATGTTTCTTTGCCATTTACATGCTCGTAATATAAGCGCCATGCATTTCTACCTACATCGGCAGACTGCTGACATTTGCGACGATGTTGAACAAATCACCTCATATTGTCGGTCCCATTTATCGCTTTAAAAGTCTGTCTTTCCAAACGGGAGACGAGCGCATGTATACCGTCTCGCGTTTTTACGACTCTCGGATGGGGTTCCCGTGCTTTTAACGACGTACAAACTGAGCACACCCTCGAGTATCCTCGGCGAGGATTTAGTGAAGTTAGACTTAAAGGAATGATCTTTTACTACCACTATAAACTTTTAATCCCTTTCTTATTCGCGTTTTCAAAGGAAATCTACGCGTTTTTTGAAGAGACGCGTTTGACACGCGCGTTATCGCCGTCACAGAAGTTCATCGAAATTTAACTTTTAAAAAAATAACAGAAATCCACTAATTGTAAAAGAAGCGAGATTTACGTATGTACTTTTAAAGTATGCGTCCGCTTCGTCGCTTCGTCCGCGCATATCACGACATGGGTGCCTCTGAACTTTTACCTAAATCGGAATAACTGTCTGTCAAAGACTCGTTTATACGCTTTCGTAGAATTATAGGACACTCGCGCTGGGGCAAGTCGCATTATTCCATTCTCTTCTTTGTCGTTTGCATATAAGCGGATCGACATATAACGAGTATGAACCGTGGATAAGAAGGAACACAGGAAAGGATTCGCGAATTAATAACCCGCAGAATTTTTCTTTGTCATTTCCATCTGTTCGTTTTCTGTCGGGAATAATTGGACGGAAATGTTGTAGGTACTCAAAATCTCTATTTCAATCGAATATACGGCGAGATTTTGCAGTAGCTCGCTACAACCCAGTGACCCTATAAACTCGACCTGTACAATATCTGCACTTTAGCAGATTCTCTTCTCGGCAGCCTGGTTGGTACCGTGAGTGCTCGTGACTTGCTCGGTAAAAGCTCGGGGAGTGAAGAGGTGCGTTATACGGTAACGATAGCGGACCATTAAGCAAACGTTTACTCTTTATCGCTACGTAGATTGTGCTTTTACTTCGTGCCATGACGAGTAATACAACTAACGAATTTAGAAACACACTTTGAAACGTTTACGGTGAAACCGCAATTTCTTTAGCGTGAAGTAACTTTGCTGATTTATGTTGTTGTTTTAATTCAGGATTGTTTAGAAGCAATTATTGAAATTTTTGTGAAAGAGCATTATTAAATTCTTCGATCTTTTAATTTAATTTGCTCGAGTGCTTGCGCACGATTTGAACGGCGATCAATTCCATTTTATTCTGTTGGCGAAAATGCGTTTTCGTCAATTATTAGAATTTTATCAAAATTTGTCAAAAAGTAACAGCGTTTTATTTTGAAAGTAAAAAGTTCAACTCTCTTTTATAATAGTTACGGTAACGCGATTATAATGTCATATTAATCTTAAAAAATATAATTTTCAATTTAAAAGTTAAACGTAAAAAAGAACGGAAATGCAATATAATATAAAATTCGCAAATTCTAGAAAATTTACGATGACATTTCAGCGATGTTCTCGCTCTTGCAGAAAAATATAGGAAAATTATGATTAATTAACCACAATTAGAGAATCCGACGGCGTTCCGCCTTTCCTTTGCAAATTTTTTGCCGTCAACCCGTCAGGCCATTTAATCGCGCGCAGAAAACGGGGGACAAAAATCATTTTGAGAAAAATTATTCATGGGATATTCATCGGGAAATGCAACGTGCTACTGTTATGTCATTCTGAGAGAATATTTAATAAATCTTCTGAAACTAACATGACAGAAATCTATCGTATCACATTCTAAACTGATTAATTGTCATTGCAGAGTTTGATGAAATACAAACATAATATAAAAATTAATTAAAGTATTTTGAAATCTAATATTATATTAACGTTTATAAATAAATCAATATATATATATATATATTTAAAATCTTAAAGTAAATACTATTTTTTGAATTTAAAAATTAAATTATTTAAGTTGTTTAGATAATTTAAGAGATTTGATTGATGTTTCTTCGTAATACCCTGTCGCACCATCTTTCATTCTTGTTGTATCAATCACTTTAACTCTGACGTAAATAGACAGCTGTAATTATGAAACTCGACAATGACACAACGATGACGGAAACGAATATTAACGCGACTGATTTCAATACACTATTACGATCAGCAGACAATGTAGCTGCATCCGAGCACGTGGTGCATCAACGGTTCTCTGATGGACCACAGGAGATTTATGAACGGAAGCCCATTATGCATAACATCGACTCGCGAAACATTAACTTCGTTAGAGTCGAGTGCTAAATGAAACGAATAGCAAGATATACCGCTACACGTGTAGTGATTGCCATTGGCCTCTATTTCCTGGAACAGCAAGTAGTTGCATCTTGTTTTACGATATAGGTCACTCGAAATTGTTCACCTCTGCGTATATAAAATGAAATGTGTAAAAGAAAATAAATTAAAGTAAATTTGCGGCTTAGAGTGACGTGTAAACTTATAAGGTAAAAATACCGATTGGAGGGAGAAATTGCGGACGCGACGTAGAAACGGCCGGACGTTTTCAACGAAAAACCACGTTTTAATCAAGAGTTCTCCGTAAACAGGAGTCATCTTACGCGTGCATTTAGAAAGCTGCTGCTTTGTTTCGCAAACAACTTTTTCTCTTTCAACTTGAGATTCTCTAAGGACGACTGATAATGCCAACAGAAAAATGGTTTAATATAGTGAATCTTTTGTACTTAATTTGGACCAAATGTTGCCGCAAAATTTGACGTCTGACATTATTTTACACACGAATGCAACGGAAAAATGTCGAATTTTTTAAAGCAACGATGATTTTCTTAACTTATCATTTTCTAATGATAATAATTGTAATAATTTAAAACTTCTCATTAAAATTATTTTTAGATATATTTACAAAATAATGAAAAATTTATTATTGATCTTCTTCGATTGGAAATATGCGGTAAATGGAACGTTGATATCACTCGCCTCCCAGCATTTCGATAATTTGTTTCTCATGTACTTTTTCCATTTGCGGTTCCGCCCCTGCTGTCTCTTCTCCAGGATAAATCACCCTCTTCAAAAGGGATCGTATAGTCGCAACGAAATGATGATATACGACGCCTGAGGTTCCAGAGCCAGTGGAGACTATTTATCAGTTTAATAACAATTAAACACCTTATATAATCTGCGAATATTATTAGTAATCACGTTCAAATCCTGACGTAAATAATGGTAAGATTTTCCGAGAGCTCGCGAATAGCCAGCAGACATTGTGCGCGCACTAGAGTGGACGAATAATTACCTGCTCCATTATCCCTTCACGTTAAATTAAACGGAAAGGCAAACATTTCGATATGCATATCGCGTAATTAACTTTTCACGTACAAGCATTTTTTCTTGTATATTTCCGGTTTCCACAATAGAGAAAGAGAGAGAGAGAAAGAGAAAAAGATTATCTTTCGCAAAGAATGTTGTCGATGTTGCGACACTGTGAAAGGCCAGGAAATACGACGGAATATAATCCGCCATTCCGAGAGAGAGAGAGAGAGGACGCACTCTTAAGAACGATAGATTTAAATAATCCCGAACACGCGTTTGAAACTCATCGTGCGGGGACCGTTTAAGGTCGATCGCTCGGCTGCGCAACGCGGTCCCTTAAATAATCCCTTATAAATGTTACGGCTCGCTGCGAGATCGGCAACATTCGTCATCTGTGACATCATTTTTGGGTCGGCTGGACCGGTGCCTGGAGCTTTCCCCTGAACATAGCCGGTCGTTCTCTTCCTACCTATCTACTCCGACTACCGTGTTGCTCTGCCACCCTTGTCCCTGCGCGTTTCATACCGTCCGCAAGAAATCTCCCGCCATAAATCCTACACCGTATCCTCGTGCGTGGTACCGCCGTGGTCTCGCCGGGGTATCTTTTCTTCGTTTTTGCTTGGGTTCCACTCGATTTATCGACATTACCTGCCCCGCGGGTCTACCCTCCGCAGAGCGCCCATCTGTGGACCATCTCGTTTTTGCGAACTTGTTCACGAAAATAGCATGACAGCACGCGCTCGTCGATTTCACGAAACGTTCATCCAAAACAAGAGTGAATTTTCTGGATTGATGTCTATCGTATAGCATTCAATTTGCCAAAAAGCTAATAAGTAAGATTACCTTACGTGCGACGTGAATATCAATCAAGAATAATTCGAATATTTTATAAATGTCGAAATCATAACGATAAAAAGATGTAGTTATAAAACTACATTTTTTATTAAATCACATTTGATAAGTTTTTAATTTCTCGAACTTTTTATTCGCGTATACAATTTTGAAAAAGCGAGATATTTGACGAGACTAGTGTCGATGGGGCAAATTAGCTTCATAAAGTTAGCTAGAAAATAAGAACATTCCATCGACTCTTTGAGATGGATTTTTATGTTCGTGAGCGACACCTTTTTGCGGTTCTGTTTCAAGTCACGACGAGACATTTTTCTCAGCGGTGTTCAGACGCGTGCATCTCTTCAAACGAAAGCTTGTCATCCACCACAGGGATTTATTTCGAGTTTGAAGCCGACAAAACGAGGGCGAAAAAGCGCAGTCAAACGCAACTGAAAAAAGTTTGCATGACTCGCTTTTGCGACGGCTTTAAATTTTTCGAGCGCTCGTCACTGCTCCTTTTTTATTTTGCAGTAAATTTTCAGGACAATAATTATCGTATATACTCCACGCAGTTTTATTTTCGTTGACTGTGATAGCCGACCGTAGTTGACGTTATTCCTTGCAAAAAAATGCGACCTTTATTTATCCCATTCTTCAAATCGCTAAATTGACTGATATTCACTATAAAGCGCAACAAGAATTTGTCGATAGAGTCAATGCAAAAGATCGTAAAATTCTGTGAATGTATTATGCGTGTTGTTGCTCGGATTTTATTATCAGCATGCTATCCCAAAGGAATTACGAATTCTCTGTAAATCGATTTGCCTCTTTAGGAATTAAATCGGAATCGCCTCGCATATTTCAGAATTTTTTTATTTATTATCTGCTCGATTATTTATAAAGGACGACTCGATAATCTTGTGTATGTGTCGTAAAATCAGAAAATTCGCAATTATGCTTCTTTCAGGACTGTCCCGGCGAACCGACGGATTTTCGAGCGGAGCAGTGCGCGGAGTTCAACAATGTGCCCTTCGAGGGAACGTATTATGAGTGAGTATCATAACCGGCATCGTAATTATCAATGCCTACTCGACTGGAAACTCCGTCGAAATCGTGAAACAAGATTATCGTTGCGTCGTGACGTTATGATTTACGACGGCGCTACGTGGTGGGATGATGATGAAATTCCTTTTAGCCTTTGACATCATTTAATGATCGTCCCTTCGCTCTATAATCCGCGGTCGCATGAATCGTCTTTTAATGGGAGAGATATCATATTTATGGACGCTCTTTCTCCCTCGATCGCAGTCAAAAGGGATTCGAGGGGTTCCGAAGAAACGTGTTACGAATGATATTGACGGTCATACAAATGCCGTAATTTACATCCGACACAACGCGGAACGATGACTCTTTTATTCGCCGCAAATATATATGTTTTTGTCAGTACATCATCGCTCGCTTTAAATATAAAATAAAATCGAATGACAAAAAGAAATTTCGAGTTGATGATAATCGGTGACGAATTACTGGGCGTTGATTATCATTGATTTTTGAATTACGCAAAATTCTTTTTTTTTTTTACAGTTGGATTCCGTACACCGGAAGTCCCAATAAATGCGAACTGAATTGCATGCCGCGTGGCGAGCGATTTTTCTACAGGCACAAAGTCGCCGTGGTCGACGGTACTCCATGCGAATCTGAAAAGAACGACGTTTGCGTCAAGGGCAAATGTATGGTGAGTTGTGTATCGGAGCATCATAGTTTGAAGAGTAATTATAATTCTACATAATGATTATATTAATGATTTAAATGAGGTATTTTTGAGGGACTTTTGTGTTAAACAAAATGAGAGAGCGAATAAAGTGGATTGTATATTACGATAGAATTTCATGATAAATCTTCCTCTTTTTTGGCACGTCAGCACGTCGGATGCGATATGATGCTGGGCAGCGATGCCAAGGAAGACGCGTGCAGAGAATGCGGCGGCGATGGCTCAGATTGCAATACCGTTACCGGTTTATTCGACACAGATGATCTCCAAGTGGGTGAGTTATTTTCGTTGATTAATAATTATTACGCTAGTAAATTTGATCCATGATCATCTTCCAGCGAGCAACTTTAGAGATTATTTCTGTGTAATCGATATCTATTTTATTCAAGGAATACCTTAATTTTATCGCTATTCTGGTATAAGTTTACGACTCTATCGTGCCTCTGCATTAATATTAGAGAATTACCACGCGTCTCTTTCAGGCTACATCGATATTTTGCTCATCCCGGAGGGTGCGACAAACATCGTTATAAGAGAAATACAGCCATCGAATAATTATCTCGGTGAGTACACGGAACGAAATAAATAAATTGACGTAAGAAATAATCATGCGGATATATTGATCTTAGTATTGATAGTCGTTTAATAGCCGCTTATTCCGAATAATTTTGAAACTTGTCGACCAGCCATACGCAACACAACGGGACACTACTATCTAAACGGGAACTGGAGGATAGACTTTCCTCGCAGCTTGCGCTTCTCGGGCACGATATTCCATTACGCCAGAGATCCTCAAGGATTTGCCGCACCCGACACCATCACGGCCTTGGGACCGACAAATGAACCGATTTACGTCGTGGTTGGTTTTTATAAACATCGATCGTTTTTTTTGTTTTGTTTTTTTGTCCATTAATCGTTCAAACCGAATAAAGAATACACTTAACCGAAGAGTTTTATTTTCTTCGCAGCTGCTGTATCAAGATCGTAATGTAGGTGTGCATTACGAATACAGCATACCGAAGAAATTCTCGTCGCGCACGGATCCGGACAGTTACACCTGGGTAACCGATCAATTCTCCAGTTGCAGCGTCAGTTGTGGCGGAGGTATTGCAAGATTCACTTTAATGTGACTAAACTATAAATTCTCAAGATTAATTTTAATATAAGCACAATATTATAAAATATTTACATATGTGAGATAATTATGTGATATTATTTATCAATTTTAACCGCAGTTAATTACCGTTGAATAGAAATGGATCGTTCACAATTTATAAAAAATTCATTTTTTTCACTTATCTTTCTTGAAATAACAGTCGTACTTGAATGCCACGAGAACAGATTTATTCTCTCTACACCTTATTTATTTTTTAAGGCTACCAATCAAGACGGGTGGCCTGCGTGCGAAGGCGCGACAATCAACCGGTGGATGAGAGCCTGTGCGATCCGCAGTTGGAACCGCCCGACACGCAAGGCTGCAGCGAGGAACCCTGTCCGCCCATGTGGGTGGAAGGTCCGTGGTCCTTGTGCACGAAACATTGCGGCGAGGGGGGCGAGCAGACGCGAGAGATCAAATGCGAGCAGATTGTCTCGGGTGGAATAGCCTCCGTAGTGGATGATTCCCAATGTCTGGGAAAGGTGGTGCAATAGGGACGTGGATTGCCCGCAGTGGCACGAGGGACCCTGGAAACCTGTGAGTTATCGTATTACCATCCACGGTGACGCACTGAATTACTGTTTCGCGGTTACCGCCTCTTTTTCTCATATTTGCATGCTATTTAACTCCAAAATTGACTTGTGTCTCTTTCATATAAAATATTGCAGTAACTTTTATATATAATATAAGATCTTTAAAAATAAATACATATATTTTATTATATACTGTGTCTTTAATTTTGTAAAACACAAAATGTAAAAATGTTTCTTCCAGTGCGATCACATATGCGGGCCCGGTAAGCAAACCAGAACAGTCACGTGCTACAAAAAGATTGATGGCAAGATCCAAGTGCTGGAAGATGAGGCGTGCGAAACGGAGGCGCCGGAACGTGAGAAAGCTTGCGAGTTAAGACCTTGCGCCGGTCTCGATTGGGTCACCTCGGCATGGAGCGGAGTGAGTTGTCTTAAACGATAAAATTTTCTATATAAAAAATTAAAAAATATTTAAATATCTAAATAAAAT